AAAGACCATTCAAAATATTGAATATGGTATCAGTGCATTTACAAACATCTTCGTGTATGTTATAATATGTTAGAGAATATGCAAAGGAATGAGATTATTTTGTTGCTTACCTTTGTGCTAAACGCCTCCAAGTATATTGTATATATCAGAAACTGCATAGAAATGCGACTTTGTTGCTTACCCTGTGTTCCTATTATACTGTATTAATTTTGTCATACACCCAATGGCAGTGAGATATAATATCTATAGCAGAATATGATAACCGTAACTCTAGTCGTAGTTATTTTATCTGTGAAAGCATGTCATATCTATGGTAAATCTATATCTTTCTCTATATATATATATATATGTAACCTAAATTCTGTGGTGGTATAGTGAACCTATAAATAGGATCACTGTCAAAGCATTGGTGCCAAATATGTGTCATATTTTGTCAGTAACGGTAAATATATAGCACTATACTTGACACACGTGTGTTTTCAGGAATTTTTTTTATTAGCGTGGCAGTCTGAGTTGGCTAACAAAAAATAAGATGAATACAACGATTAAAACGTAAGGTTTTGAGTTCGCTATGCTTTTTGGAAGTACGGATTTGAGTAAAATAAACGACAAATTGAGAAGAAAAATATATCTCCTACGTATTCTAAAGGTTCTAAAAACCAAACACCAAAACTAAATCAAACTGATTAATTAACAATTAGTACCATCCGTTTTTAATCAACCCTTCAAATTCAATTTGGTCAAGAAGATACATTAATATAAATAGCGCATTTTAGAAATATTTTCAGGTATAATTTACGTCATTGTGAAAACGTTTTACAAAAAATGCGGATTATCCCTTTAAGTTATAATGTATGCACATAAATTATACACCGCAATATATAAGTGGTTTTTGTTATTAATTTATTTGTTCCCAAATAATCAATTCACAATTTATTTTGATTAAATTTGAGTTAGAAATGTTAATCAAAATGTAATTATCAGTCATGAAAGTTGTCATATTCAGTTTTAGAGGTCTAAGTGACGATCGTCTTGAATTAAGACAAGGCCTGTGATAGAAAAACGGCATTATATTACAACGCTGCTTGCAGATATAGATATTCCCGTTCTAACTTCTATTCAGCATGATGGGGAAATAAAGTCGTGTCATGTGTTGGATGCCATTCATTATCAAGACCATGATTCCATATTAGTAAATTATCCATCTAGTTCATTCACACTCCAGTCAGTCAGTCCAATTAACTGTCACGTAAAAAAGTAATAGAAATCAATCGTGGTGACCCGAGGGGACTATATGTACAAGAATTGGATGATAAAAAATCTTCGTTTTTAGACAGATTTATCAAATTATGTAAACACTGTAAACATATTCTGTTGTTTTTTTATATCAAAGAAATAATCCTTATTTTATATGCTCCATATGCATGTAATTTTCGTTGATAGCCATCAGATAACAGTCAGTTCTAACTCTGCTTTTAGATTGTGTTTTAAGTATTTCAAAATGTACGCTTTAAAACTATACCACTGGACTGACATAGTCAAGATTGAAAATGTCTTCACTCGCAATTGCTTTATAATTTCTTTATAACATAATAGATATTTATCATCACAGAATGCGTGGTTTGGTAAATAAAGATTTCCTAAGTTTGGATAATAAGCTGTTTTTCATATTTTAACAGCTTTCGGAGCGTGAACACAATTGAAACTTCACAAATATTGAAACATAAGAAAGAAGCTTGGTCCATTAGAGGCTTTGAAATTTATTTACTCAAGAGGACAATCGTCAAAATGGATTAAGAAATTACCCAAAGCATGAAATTCTGGTAGTCTTTCTTGATCATTTTTATTGATCTGCTGTATAACAAGTCTTGAATCAACAGGATTTTGAAATATTTTAGAATAAATATAAGTATTTCTAAATCAAACAATAGTACAGCCATAACAATGATATCAAAATATTGATAAAATATCAAATTATTGACTTAATATATTTGTAGACAGCATCTGTCATTAATCCATTATATTCCTATAATCAACCATAGTTTCAGTTCAGAGTTCACGTGGAACATCCATTCTGACCACAGGACACTGTCAATGAGCCATAACAGTTTTCTGTCTCTGTAAGCATCCATGTTGGATTTTTTCGCGATGTGGCCTACCGCCGAAGCTTGCTACTTTTCCGAAAACGCTACAATAAGAGTATTATTGTCCTGGGAAACTACCCGTGGAACCTTGGACTTTTTGTTATAATACTCATGAAATCAAGCAGAAAACCAATTTAAATACAACAAGCGTGGCATGGTTGGCACAATTTTGTGATTCTGTCGAGTTCTATACTTGTTACGTGATCGTGGGCGATTCATTTTCAGTCAAGAGGGAATACATTACGGCATTATAGAAACAAGAAATATGCACGCTTTATAGTGTTTTACATATCATTGGGGTTATATTCCTACATTTGAGATCAATTGGTGTGCTTGTCAATTTTAGTCACATAGTTATACGAAAGTTCCAGTTGGGCCATATCTTGCGAATGGCGTTAATTATTTTACTTGGTAGGCCAATCAAGATATACATAATCGCACTTTTACAGTACTATTTACATCAAAACGTTTTTACTTGAACTTGATCTGCTTTTTGGTATAGCTTCATGGCGGTCCTATCTGACTTCCAGGTGTGCAGGAAAATGCTTCAGTTGTGATGGGACTGTGCTTTGCTTTGTTGAGTCAAACAAACATGATGGTCTTGGTCTCGGGTTGACGTGTGAACGTTCCGTGAACCACCGGATACGGATAATCCGAGGAAGGACATTGCCAAAAGGTCTGGTCAAGGACCAGTTAGTAGCAAGGATCCTCACGAAGGTGTAACCCTTAAAATATTGTTGTTTCTGTCTTTGATTTTAAGTCATTTCGAAGTTTAGTGGTAGGCCTATTCCAAATGGTTTTTTTCCAGCCTGCTACTTCACAGACGTACTTCAAATTGGCTAATTCATATGTGGTCCAGGAAGTCTAATCATCATGACTGCTATTCTTCCTGCGATTTTATTTTAGACAACAGAAGTGTCCACATTCAGCTAGAGAAATGATTTTGCTTCCGTTTGCTGAATTTTGTCTTAACCGATTTTGTTCAGAAAAATTAGCCTCGAACATGTTTGAATGAGAACATAATTGAGCTCTCTCCTCAAAATTCGACGATCTCCTAAAGGGAAAAAGTTTCTAAATATTTGATTGATCAGTTGAAAGAGACCAATTTCAACTGTCTCATTTTTTAGAATTTAAGTTGGTGTGACTAATTTATGTATAACTAAGTGTGTATGTTTGTATCAAGCAATTAGTGTGAGATTGTTTCTCCCAAATTTTATTTCAATCTTGGTGTTCCAGAACCCTCCAACCTGAATGAATGAAAGCTGAGTCATAACCACCTTGCCCGAGAGATACAACACATGTCTTATGGTCAGCCTTGTTTTTACTGAAATTCATAATGCCTCTTGCATCAAGAAAAGGCAAATGTTAAATTTACATATTAATATTATAATGCCAGAAGCAATGTGTCCTAAGAAATGGAATGATATGATTTTTTCTGTGTTATGCACCCGCAATAGCTGCTTCAAATTTGAGTAAAATCTCAGCTGAGTATGCAGAAAGGTCTGTGTCTTACATTTGCACGCAACAGACTGATCTCGGCCGCCAGAGAAAATTACACAACTTTATGCGGAAGATTGAATCTTCTAATGTTTATTTCCGATAATTTGAGTTGTTCTAAAAGAAAGATATCGGCTATTATTCTGCATATCTAAAGTAGAAACTGTCAAGATTTTCTCTGAACCTATCTGATTTAGTATTGTCTGTTATCGCATCTGAAACACTTAACGAACACATGCTGCTCTGGATTCCACCAATATTTCACTATAAAGAGTGTTAATTCACCCTTGATGACATAATTAATCGATATAGCACTGAGACTAGCGATAGATATAAGTGGACTATAAGTATGGAATTGAAACTGTCTGAACGATGTACAAATTGTAAACCTTCACGTAAATTTGACATTTAAAACTAAATATTGGTATCAATAAAGAATTAATACTGGTTAAGAAAAAACAAAATGGACAGTGACGGTCGCCGTAATGTAATCAGAGCTAAATAATACTTCCTATTGACTAAAACTTTGAATAAATATATTTTTGATGGTTTTAAGTGTATTTCTGTTAACATTTTCCGAGGAGATAGTTATAAATAAGTCTGATACTTAAGTTGAATTAGACAGTTACCGGAGCAAAGCGCCCTTTTTGGAGGATTTCACAACTTCGAAGGGTTTAAAGTATGGGCACTTGAGGGCTGTTCATGTCGACTGGTGATAACATTGGTTCCACTGCAGTCGGGAGGGAGGGAAGTAGCTGCAATAACATGGATGATCGCATATTCCAACCGCTCTCCTAGAGTTCCATCGTATCACGAATACGGGTTTTGACATGACCTCGAGGAAGTATAATGAATGGGGCGTGGTTTGAACACGATGATAGACTTTCAGAATCTCGTTTCAGATGCTATTTTACGGGTGAACTAAATCCAGCGATTACTTGAATTCTCTCTGATGCTGCTATTCATTAGTTAGTCAATAAAAACAGAATCGATTTCAGATTCTCAGTTGCAGGGTTGAATTGACAATACCCTCTCCCCTATCTCTTTGTTTTCTAACGTGCTCTCTATTTAACACCCAGTGTGTTTCTTCTGACTATCATCTTGCCGGTATCTGTAAATAAGCTAATGCATCAACAAAGGTCAAGTCACAATGCAATATTATTGACTGGCGTAATTGAAAAAAAAATGACTAGAAATATGTTTCCAAAATATATTCTTCCCAAACTTAACAATTGTAAAAATACAAAAAAGCAAAATGGTGTAAAAATCTAATAAGGAATATATAAAATATATCATAGTAGTATGATATCTTCGTTATCAGTCAGTCCATAGTTCTTATCATCATATCATAGATCCAGTTTATTTTTCACTATTTGGCTGGATCTTGCTGTTACGGCAAACTAAAAATGGTCTGGTTAAAACATTTCTAATGGCTTTTAACGCTCTTCTGAATCCAGCCTTGCATCGCTTAGATCTTGATGGTTTGACTGCAATGAGAAATATAACATATATCAACCCAACTGTATTCATTTTATCAACAACTTTCCATCAGACAATTCCTACACAGTAAGAAGTTCTTTGACTTGAAATTTCGGAAAAAAGGAGGAGTTTTCAATTTTAGTTGAGGGGGAAATGTTTACGCTCTGTTATTAAATATAATCTTTGTCTCGTGTTGACCATAAGAAATAATATGATCTGTTAAGAAGTGGAACTTTTCACTGGAATGATATTTTTGTGCCAATGTTGGAATACTATTGTTTATTTGTTCACATACCTTTTAATAAATAACCAAATTTAAATGGATTTTTGTAATCAGCAATTTCTTTAGATGAATCTGTAGTTTTCAGTGGAGATTGTCCATCACCAAAACCAAGTTGTAGTAGTAAATCATCATACATTTTACTAACAGTATCATCATCTAGATCTTCTGTTATACCATCTGTTAGTTTACCACAGTCAGGTTTAATATCAACCTTCTTACCTATAACATGATAAATATTATATTATAAATACTCTGTTAGTTTACTACTGTCAGGTTTAATATCAACCTTCTTACCTATAACATGGTAAATATTATATTATAAATACTCTGTTAGTTTACTACAGTCAGGATTAATATCAACCTTCTTACCTATAACATGATATATATTATATTATAAATACTCTGTTAGTTTACTACAGTCAAGTTTAATATCAACCTTCTTACCTATAACATGATAAATATTACATTATAAATACTCTGTTAGTATACTACAGTCAGGTTTAATATCAACCTTCTTACCTATAACATGTTAAATATTATATTATAAATACTCTGTTAGTTTACTACAGTCAGGTTTAATATCAACCTTCTTACCTATAACATGATATATATTATATTATAAATACTCTGTTAGTTTACTACAGTCAAGTTTAATATCAACCTTCTTACCTATAACATGATAAATATTACATTATAAATACTCTGTTAGTATACTACAGTCAGGTTTAATATCAACCTTCTTACCTATAACATGTTAAATATTATATTATAAATACTCTGTTAGTTTACTACAGTCAGGTTTAATATCAACCTTCTTACCTATAACATGATAAATATTATATTATAAATACTCTGTTAGTTTACTACAGTCAGGATTAATATCAGCCTTGTTACCTATAACATGATAAATATTATATTATAAATACTCTGTTAGTTTACTACAGTCAGGTTTAATATCAGCCTTCTTACCTATAACATGATAAATATTATATTATAAATACTCTGTTAGTTTACCACAGTCAGGTTTAATATCAGCCTTCTTACCTATAACATGATAAATATTATATTATAAATACTCTGTTAGTTTACTACAGTCAGGTTTAATATCAACCTTCTTACCTATAACATGATAAATATTATATTATAAATACTCTGTTAGTTTACTACAGTCAGGTTTAATATCAACCTTCTTACCTATAACATGATAAATATTATATTATAAATGCTGTGTTAGTTTACCACAGTCAGGTTTAATATCAACCTTCTTACCTATAACATGATAAATATCATATTATAAAAACTCTGTTAGTTTACTACAGTCACGTTTAATATCAACCTTCTTACCTATTATAACACGATAAATATTATAATATAAATACTCTGTTAGTTTACTACAGTCAGGTTTAATATCAACCTTCTTACCTATTATAACATGATAAGTATTATATTATAAATGCTCTGTTAGTTTACAACTGTAAGGCTAATTTTCTGTAAAATTCTATAACAGATTTGCAATTCATTTGACTAATTTTACCTTTGTCTTAGAAACAGGAATTATTTATCTAAGCTAATCAGTAATAGTGTTCACAAACCTTGCGTCGAAATTTTAGCTTTCAAATCCACGTGAGTTCTGGATTATGCGCGTTTGAAGGATAAAAAGTCGATTCGTCTTTTTCTTGAGACTTGAGAAATACATATTTAGAAACAGAAAGTGAAATTCCTAGTTTGAAATATTTTAGAAGGAATTATGCGATTTTTTGTAAGCTTACATTTCTAGTACTTCTGAAGACTATTACAATTATATTAAAGACCTTAATCAACCCTAAATCAAAATGGCGAATCTATCCCTTTAATGCACATATAATTTGAGGTATTTAAACTTACCTTTTTTAACTTTGGTACTTCCTTTATGGCCATTAGTACCTTGATCTACATTAGTCATATAAACTTCTAAAAAGTTAGGTTTAGTTTTTTGATATTCGTTACCTGAAACAATATTACAATAACATAATATAATATAACAACTTTATTCAAAATTTATCCAACGAATGTTGCAGTCGTACGACTTTCTTTTGTGTAACCTTTTACGGCATTTTCATATTGGTAGGCTCTTGGATGAATTTATTTGGTAATCGGGAATATTAAAAGGAATAATAATGGGGATAACTGATGCCTGTCTGGACAAGTTAAATGTTATTTTAAATTACCATTCTTGAGTTGCTTCAGCTTTCCAACAACTCTATCTCTTTCAGTTCTATTCTTTGTTAACGTAGAATGTCTTGAGTCGTCAAGAGTAGAACTAACTTGATAAACCTCGTGATATGACATACAATCATAATCATCTCTAGGTACCACAACCATTTCTGAAAGCAAACAAGGCGGTTTTTAAGTTTATTTTGAATATTTGACCTTAGTCTCAGAAACGGGAATTGTTTAACTAATCTTATCTGTAATAGAATTCACAGCTTACTGTCGAAATTTGAATCTATGTGTATCCATCCGCGTTTGATAGTTAAAGACATAATTAATATAGAAATTAAAACTGAAATGTGAGGTACTTTTTGAAAGAATTTTCGTACATTTTTAATACTTCTCTCTTCAAGACCCAAATCAACCCCCAAAAATGGCGAGCCAATGGTCTTATTTTTATGAAGTTTAATGCAAAAATTTTGTTTTATACACGTTTTGCAGTAAAAAAATATATTCACTACCTATGGACTGCATGTTAATAATTAATATAACCGAGTGAAAATGACGAGTTACCTGGATAGAATGAAGAAAATTCGGCAAAAAATGCAGAAAAACTTGTAAACACGTCTTATAGAAAGTAATTTTCTGTGACTTGTGACGTTATTTTATTATTTTGGGTGTTTTAATTGTTTGACGTCATAATGTCCAAGAACAATCAACTATTTGAATCAAAGTTCTTTTAATTCATTTTGACCTTTTACTTTTTGTAAGAACTGGAATGTTTATACCCATATCAATGTTCAACTCTATTTGTGGCTTCGCTAAAATTTCTCAAAACGTTTTTGCTTAATATTCTGAATTTAAGCGAAGCAGAATTGTGAAAGTTTAACAACAAGGAATCATTGATCGAAAATGATGATACCCTGTACCTCTACGAAACAGAGAAATATTCGCCTTATGTCGAACAAACAGGTTTTCTATCTTCATAAAATACCCCGAGAATATGAGAGTGGCGAACTTGTACAGAATTTGCAATGCAATCCTAAAAAACTATACATAGAACTTGGAATAAGAAACGTCCTCCACCTCAAATACTAGAACTTCGTTGTTTAGATGGTGTCTTCCCGTTAGGGAATGTCACCCAAACATCTTTCAGTTTGGCCAAGCCATAATAAAGGAGCAAGCTGCAACAGATCTGAAGATTGCCCAGCAAGATGTTGCAATGCTATCACCTGCTAGAAAGCGAAAATACAATGTCATCAATCAACGCCTAGCCAGACACAAGATACACTATGCCACAGGAAAGAAGTCTGTATGTAAGTTCCTAAGATCTGCTGCCAATCATTTGAAACTTTGTTATGTTTTCCTGTATTATCAAAGTGCTATATTTAAAATGTTTGGATTTGACTAATTCAGTAAGACTTTGTTCATGTATTAATAAGATTGTTTTGTAAACGAAGTTTTGATATTTTTAACTTAGTATCCTTATTTACTAAGTAGCCCTAACGGGAATAGTTAATCTCTTTAAATATCATAGTAGCCCTCACGGGAAAATGAAGTAGCTCAAATGGGAATTAGCCCTAACTCGTCCAGACAATCTGAGTGGTGCAGCGAGATAAACGCTTGCTCACATGCTAATCTAGGAGCCCGGGATGCCTTCCGATTTCTCATTATCAGTTAAAATTAAAAAAAATAAACAGCTCTATTTTACAAGAATAGCAAATTAGGATCACAATTAAGGATCCTATCTACCAGCTGGTCCTTTGCCAAACCTCTTAGAATTCATCTTTCCCAGATTATCCCATTAGGCAGTGGGGTTGGTAGAGATGTAAAGAAATTTGCTTTTAAAATAAAAGTTCTGCTTTGAGTCACCTTGTATCTGATATAGGTGTCAAGCACTACAGCAAGCGCTTATGATAATGCTTATGATAATTGATCGAATATTGAAGGTGATCGCTTGGTGAAAGACCACACTCCACGGCGTTATTTGGTATTCTGATTTCTGAATTTAGAAAACAATTGCAGTATGAACTAGGGCATGGTTCGAAGATTTCTCTGTAAATATCTCAATCTTTAAAACACTATTAAGACAGTTCAAATTTACATAAAAACCATAACATCAATTACCTGTATTCTAATAAACTCAACAAAATCGACAAAATTCGCAGAGAAACTTGTTTACACGTCTTCTTGAAATTAATTTTCTTTGACCTGTGACGTTATTTTATTATTTTAGGTATTTTAATTGTTTGACGTCATAATTATAACGTTTTACTCTCAAATTCGTTACCATTTGAATTTCGTTTTAAAGACTGCTTTAGTTGCATTAGATAGGGGAAGCTCATTATGTGTTGTCATACAACTAAATTTAACAGGTCACCACGGGATAATATCCAATAGACCTGATCATCCCCGTGTCAGCTCTAGCTCCCAACTTGCCGTCTCAAGCACCCTATAGGTGATGAACAACTCTCTGAAATCCTACATACAAGATTTGAAGATAGCAAAAAAAACCTTAAGCAGTTCCTGCAACGTACACCGCATCGGACACCGTTCCTCGTTTATTATAATAGGCTTTTTTATTGTCTTCAATAATAAAACTTGTTTGTAAATTGAACATCGATTTATGATGCATCAAATACGATGATCTGTCTGTTCTAACACTGATTCCTGCAAAAGAAAAAGTGGTTGGGAGAGAATTAATTTAGCTTATCCCAGAATATGGTTTCAATTAAGGTTTCCATTTTTGGGGGGTCGTTTGAATTGCTAGCGCAACCTCCGGATTTCAGTTAACTCGTCTTCAGACTTTTATGATAGAGTCCCCAATTGACAATTCTGTGACCCCTCCTCCTAAATGATCATTAGGCAAGCGCGCCACTGTACCAGAGTCTGCCCTGCCCAATCCACCCCTCCCCTTTACCCACCTTCTTGCCTCAGCCTCCAGATCTGGGCTCCCGAAGAGTCAATTTGTTCATCGTCGGTCATCACTCTAACAATTACCCCTCTCTTGTGTTTCATGATCAAAATGTCGGCCAAGTCTATACACGTCAAACAGAAAACACTAGCATCAATAGTTTCTTTAGCCATATTCAGATATTTATACAGTTCACTAAGTGAGGTATTGTTGTGGGAAAATCGGCAGTTTTCATTGAAGCATCCACGGTCGCTGAGAAAATTATTTTTACATGCGACAACTTTGTCAGGAAAAAATAACACTTCTGTTATCATGCCTTGTTCTTCATGTTTTAACTTCCTTTGCTTTCTTTTCCTTCTTTGTAGAATGTAACTTTGATATAAAAGCTCCGTGGTTACACCAACAAGCACTGCACCAAACAAAATATCCAGATATTTCCCCATATAAGCGATAAAGTTGAATTGGAATAATTTGGAATTTTACATGTAATCAGTAAAAATGAAAGTAGGAATTGGGACGATTCGAAATGACCGGAAGTAACATTCTCTTTCACTTTGCATCATATTATTCTTCTGCCAAAACTATCACGTTACAATTGTGGTCAATATTGAATATCGTTATATACCTAGACTCTCTGATACTTAAAATACTGAATTCGATAGCAATCATATTACAGAATTAGTACGAATCATCTTTAGTCGAAAGGTCTCTGCATGTTGACGTCATCAAATCTAAATAAAGAAGGGAAATCCACTTCCGTTGACGTTTCCATCTTCCAACATGGCAGATTCTAGTTCGGTAAATATTTTTCTTTTTCTGAACAATTCTAGTCTATTTCACCAATTAAATTTGATGTTTAACATGTAGAACTTCCGTTTTTCTTATTTTAGAATCTGTTGTCCCTTTTTTAGATTATGCAGGAATCTGACGACGTGGCATTAAATTTCGGAGAGGAAGATGAAATTGACAGACGAAAAAAATTAAAGTGAGTTTTCCACCTTCATCGACATAGAAATTTGATAACTGTTTTTTTTTTTAAAGTGAATACGAATATCACAACTGTCAAAACGGTAATGGTAGTCATAGAATGACTTTGCACTGATAATGATATGTTATTATTAAAGGCCATGGTTCACTATTTTCAGGCGTCAGTCGTACCATGTTGGTTTAAGAATGGTAAAGCTAAGTCGCTAAGAATAATCAGTTTAGTATTCACAGCTTACAGTTGAATTTTAGCTTATTTAGCCATGTGTATCTAAGCGTATAACGGTTAAGCATTGGACAATAAAAAATTATTTGTAACCTTACAGTCTTGTAACCTTACAGTCACTGTAGCTTGATATTTAAATCTTAGTTATGGTCTGAAAAAAATCATTTCTTCGCAGCATCGCAGGATAGGAATTGGTTGTAGATACTTATGTCATAATATCCCCATTCCAATTCCATTCATATGGAACCAATATCATAAATTAATTATTATGCAATTTTTAAACCAACTGATTTCAAATTTTGCTCCTTATTTCAGACATCCGATTGCAGTGTTGTTTCATCTTTGTTTCCGTACTGCAGCGTTATTAACCTATTTATTGTGTGGTTGGTTCAGTACTAGTGAAATTACTATATTTGTTGTGATAATAGTGTTGTTGTCAATGGACTTTTGGACAGTTAAAAATATAACAGGTAAACTTAAATAGAATTAGATATTAGTAATTTATTATATTATGCTTTAGTATTGCACACGGAAGACATTTAAATATGCTAACATTTTACATTGAAGTGTTCACTGTGGAGAATTCAATCAATACAACTGCAAGCAGCTGTTACCTTGTTTAGGTATTTCCCAAATTACCAGATAATCTTCTAGTTTTAAACTAAGAACAGCTGTTTTTACATAGTGTTTGAAGTTAAATGTCTCTTCAAATTTCACAAAGAGTATAGAAAATTCTTTTGAAATATTAAGCTAGAATTTAAAAATATCTTGAATGTTCTATGATTTAAATTATTTAAAGGGCAAAAATAGACTTTTTCAGTTTTATTCACTTATGATCTTTGGTTTTAGAAGTTGCTGTCTTCTTCATTTGCCTTTTGCAAATTTTAAAAATATTTTACTCCTTTATAATGAAATTCATCTTACACCTTGACTGCCATAGCCACCTTTCTAGTGTTATAGAAGTTTGTAAATGCAGCGATTTGATTGGATTGTTAGTGCATACAGTGCCCTCAACAGAAAGTCTGTAATCACTAAGCCTTAATGGTGATATACTTTATCTCCAGGGCTCTGATGGACTGTATTCACTAGCATACAATCCAGTAAAATTGCTGCATTCAGTGATACAAAGATAGCTAGGTGAAAGGTGGCTTTTGCAGTTAGGGTATAAGATGATGTTCGTTACAGCTTGACATTGTGAAGATGCATTACATTTTTTGGAAAGAATTCAAAGAATAAGAATGACCTCCAGTTATCCATCTTGATTCTCAGATCTATCATTATCAGATTATTATTACCTATTTCATCTTGGTCAATTGCTAAAATAATGCAAAATGGTAATTTACTGCTTTTCGGCACGAAACAGCATTTCTTGATGGAAACAAACAAATAATGTGTTAAGATTCTTAAGTCTTTCTAATCTATTATTTTTCTAGGTAGATTATTAGTAGGTTTAAGATGGTGGAATTATGTTGATGATGAAGGACATAGTAAATGGGTATTTGAGTCAAGAAAGGTATGTTCAGGCTTATTGTGAATCTATCATCACTGAAACATAGCCATTACCTTGGCCTTTTTGAGTTTACCATAGTACAACCTACTCGTTTTAACATCAAAAGCTTGGATCTGAAAGGGCATTATGTAAAATTTTACCTGAAAATATTTGTAAAATCGATATTTTCATCTATGTATCTACTTGCTCAAATTTAATTTTTTTTATAATGGAGTGTATTAATTGTAGATTAAGCAGCTTAAACTAGTTTTGGTGTTGGGCCTCAACACTTCTATAAACATAAAAAGCGTATGTTTTGCTTTAATCTGCTTAAGAGTACTTTTGTAACAACTTACACAGAACAATCTTGATAAGTTTACACAAACCTTTTATATAGTTTTGGCTTTGAAAAAATAACCTGTGGGAATTTCTTAGTTAAAACTTTTACATATGGAACAGAATGCCCCTTTAATGTTGATGGTGTATTATGATTTTTATACGCCCACATCTCTCTATGTGGATGTATATTGTCGGCACCCCCGTCCGTCCGTCAACATTTGCTTGTAAACGCTCTAAAAACTAGATTTTTTGATGGAATCAAATGAAATTCGGTATGTGTAAGCTTATACATATTCATCAAACGAAGATCAAATTCGAATTTTGAGCTATTTTCGACTGTTAGAAGCAGAGTTGTTGCCCTTGCCCCAAAATCTTGAATATGCTATTACTCTCTTAGTTTTCAAACAATATATGATGAAACTTAGAATGGATGTTTCGTTTTTACCATCCACATGCTGTGGGTCCACTATCTTTCATATAATAGTTGCTGTAGAAAACCTCTGGCCTTCGATAATTGCTGACTTTTTTAATCTCTTTTCAGGGAAAAAATCAGCATAAAACATCATCTGTAGAATCTAGAATCTTCTGGTTAGGATTAATTGTTCCAGAAATCATTTGGATTGTGTTTTTCTTTGTTACTATTTTTACTTTAAAAATTGTGTGGTGTGTAAGTATATATCTACATTTTTCAAATTTAAAGTATATGGCATTCGTAACATAATATATCCAATTCATTTAAAACTTTTGCTCTGTTTTGCAATTTGGCTTGTTACTACTTATTGTTATTAGTTCTAGCATATATCATAGATACTTTTAAATGCCAAAATCAAGTACACTGTCATGAGTTTTCATGAAAACAAGTGTGATATTTAAGGTCAGAAAGGACTATTGTTAAAGGGAGACTCATAGCATCAATTTGCACCTTTCTAATTTTCCATCAGACGTCCTTCCAGATTAGTGACGTGGGTGGAATTGTGATAATGCTTGAACCACGTACGTTGATTGAAAATTGAAATGGTACAAATTAATGCTATCATCATGCTATAGATTGAATAGTAATCTACACTATGCAAGCCAGTTTTTTTTTATAGAGTTCTTAACACTAACTACTCTTATATAATAATATGGACTGCTCATGATAATGGTTTCAATTGTATTAGATGTGCACGAATAACTTTGCTCAAATGTATAGTGGAGCTAAAATCTTCGGGGTCGCATTCAAAACAAAACCATGAGCAGTTTCCTTTATAAGACTAGCCTGTAAGAATTAGTTTTTATAACTATTAATACGGTACTACAGTTCTTAAGAGTTATCATATTTAAACAAGCAAATCGATTGGGATCAGTTTGTTTCAATATGTTTATGAGTAAGATATGTGGTATATATGACTTGTAATATAAATATAATGATTGACAGTTCACGGTTTTATCCAATAAAATAGAAGCTTGTGCAAGTCATGAGTTTTGTTTAAAAAAGGGGTGGAGCTTCAGCCATGCAATAACATCAAAATGAACTGGTTGTAGCATACCTAAGCTCCACCTATTTTCCTGTAAGATTCTATTTGGCTTTCATGTTGAATTATTCAAGTATGGTACAACAACAAATTAATGATAATAGACCTTGGTTTTCCTAGAATACACATTTTAAGCAAATTATTTCGTAAAAAATGTTAACTTGTTTATGGTATAAATTTAACCTGTATGTACATAAAAATCTTACCTTGATTAAAGTATGAAGTGTGTTGCTTTGTTTGAATTTTTCATGTAAAAGAATCATTTATTATTGTAGATGATAGTGATTGTTGGTATTTTAATGAATGGTGCTAATGTATTTGGTTATGTTAGATGTAAATACGGTTCTCGACAAAGCATTACTTCTTTAGCATCTGGGTTTTTCACTTCCCAGTTCTTAAAATCAGTAAGTAGCAACTTCTCTAAATAGCACATTGATCTTGGTTGGGAAGTATGCTTTCAATCATCAAGCTTATAGACCTGTTTCTTTTACACCAGGCTTATGTTGTCAGTTTGTCAACCATCGCTCCAAAACACTCTCGAACACAGTTCCTGATTCATCATGACACCTATAAAAACCTTATTCACGTTGTTCGGAACCACAATCCCAAATAGCAGAATTTGTGCTCTATTATCAAGTCAAGCAAATATTTAAATTAATACATGCCTTTTAAATATGATATGGAATACATTTGGGAGTGACAATTTAAAATCAAGAGAATCGCCTCATCCCTGTATACATAGAAAAATGAAAAAATTTGTTCAGTGTTTAACCTAAAGCAAATTTTTAGATAATTAATAATCAAATTTAAATTTCTTATTTTTTTACAGATGGTTTCTTCATCAACAACAGATGCATCTAAAAGTCAGGCACCTAGTGGAGTATCATGATGAGTTTGCTAATGACTCTCAATGTGATCTAAGAAACATTCCGACCTGTGGTGCCCTGTAAATATTGTGATAAAGTGAGGGATTTTTTGGTTGTCATCTCAACAGTATTCATTCAAATTATTAATGGTGGTCAAACAATTAGTGTGAACAAAAAAATACACATTGGGTTGCAGATCATACCCTAAACTTAATTATGACAAGTAAATTGATAATGCTAGACTGTTACAACTCATCTCAATGGACAAAAACTTGTTCACTCATTTCTAGGTTTTGATCAAATACAGGTCTGTTTTCAAAATTTACTTTTTTACATTTATCAGAATATTTTGTAAGTGTCAGTCACTGAAGAGTTAGGAAATTCTTGACATTTCTCTTGATATTTCACTTGACATTTCACTTGATATTTCACTTGACATTTCACTTGACATTTCACTTGACATTTCACTTGATATTTCACTTGACATTTCACTTGATATTTCACTTGATATTTCACTTGACATTTCACTTGACATTTCACTTGATATTTCACTTGACATTTCACTTGCTATTCCATGGGATCGGAGACATCCATGTGTAATCCATACTAATTACTAGTAATCTAGTTCCTTGACTCTTAGATGACTAGAAATAGAATTGGACAACAAATTTTCAAATATAAGCCAATTTTATTTCTGTATTGTTTTGATAAAGTTGATTTGATAAGTTTATTCTTGATTTATCTATAAAAAAAAGTTCTTCTAGAAATTCCAAACAAATTGATGCAAAGTTTCTTTTGATAGCTTTGGTAAAGTAGTAAACAGAAAAGGCAAAATAGTCTCAAATTTGTTATGTTTGTGCAATTCCCTTTGATCTAAGAAAATTAATTTTGTTAGAACCATTAGATGGTTTATTGTATGTAACTTACGGAACACGTGAATATTACAAATAAATAACAATCTGACATTATTTACCAGTCAACTTTACAAAATTGATACATTTTTGCATTAGGAAAGGAGTTGCTTTGTGTTTCTGGTGAGAGTTGACTGTGATTATTCTCAGAAGCAATAATATTTAAAAAGTGTTATGAGAAGTGTTAGATCATCAATCTGATCAAAATGTGTTTTTTTTTTTTTTTTCATTTTTTGATTTAGAATTTCTAGACTCACCATCCATAATCTGACACAATACTAACTTGTGATCAGTCTATGTTTGACTCAATGCAGCTTCTACTGCTTTCAAAAATCTATCTTTACCCAACAAAGATATAGTTAGCCATCCTGACAATTTTAAACAATAAATATCCAAGAAGCCAGGTATATTATTATTATTTTTTTTATCATAGAACATAATTGGTGGAGTATTTAAATAGCTAAGAACATGAGTTACATAACAATTTATTTTGATCATGGTTGGAAAGTGGAGTCTCACATAGAAACCTTTTTATTCTTAATTTAAATTCTAATGTTTTTTCTAATTATATTGTATTCTCATTGTTATTATTTTGTTTGTTGTGTAAATAAATGGTTATTTATATTGATTACTCGACTAGTTTTTATACGTCCACATCTCTCTATGTGGACGTATATTGTCGGCACCCCTGTCCATCCGTCGGTCCGTCAACATTTGCTTGTAAACGCTCTAAAAACTAGATTTTTGATGGAATGAAATTCGGTATGTGTATACATATTCATAAAACGAAGATCAAGTTCGAATTTGAGCTATTTTCGATTGTTAGAAGCAGAGTTATTGCCCTTGCCCTAAAATCTTGAATATTTACCATCCGCATGCCGTGGTATGGCTGTGGTCCACTATCTTTAATTATGTAATGTTGATAAAGTATAAAGGAGCTATATGCAAATTCTAAATACAATGAGCAGAAGCTTTCCAAGTGCTCACCTTGTTATCGAAAAGCCATGAGAACAGGGTTTGGCCTTAAAAGCAGTGGGTAGTATTTTTGGAGATGTTTGAAGTTTGGTGTCAATGTGGGTATTTTCCTGTTAATACTCTCGATCCTGGGTTTTGTACTATTTGTAGTTGCTGAATTTGGTTATCTGGAATAATGTAGAGGGCATTCTGGTAATCTAATTTATTGGTGATGAAGGAATGAATCAGAAGTTCCAGTGTTTCGGTGTTCAGATATTTTTTGATGAGGCTTAGACTGTGTAGCTGGAAGAATGATGACGAACATATGAACTTGAAGTTTCGGCTAGATGTCATATTTGAATCTAAGATGGCTCCAATGTTCCTGGTGGCTACTGGTGTTTCCATAGGATTTAAAGACAGATGTGGAAATTTAGAGAGTTGCCGACTAGTGCCGATAACTAGGAATTCTGTTGTTCAGGATTCAACTCTAAAAAGTGTGTCTGTCATCCAATTAGTAATCTCTTTAGACCATGGTACGTCCAAATTGCAACTTCACATCTCAGATAATTTTCGAATGGCAGCTTATCAAATTCTTGGTCTTAACCCCAACGAATGCAGCTATAGACTGAACAAGGTTGATTCAGACCTACTCGATTAAAGATTAAAACAGGCAAAACTTGGCTAATTTTGATCTGATCCAAGAGGGATAATTTTTGTATCAGATGAAATTCGATTTTGAACATCTAATTTCTTAACAACATGTTTAAACTGTTCAAGAACGGGGTACGGTGTTTGACTGGATGTGCAAGCGGTATCATAGATACAGAAGAAAATATAAGTCACGAATGCGATACACTATAGTTCCTAATTATTGTTTATCATTTCTCCTTTATCTACTGTATCGATAATCCGCCACATCAAACTTCAAAGGACACCATACTTATCTATTGGCAACTTGAGAGGTCACTATAATTTAACCCCTTCATGTAGGTTTACTGTTGTGACTCAAATAAAATAACACAAGATCTATATTACTATACTAATATTTTATTATCAGTGGGTCATCAAAGTTTAGCCCGAGCCTCTTTGAGAACTCTGAAATAAAATAAAATATTAATGTTACAAAGCAAATGGTACATAGATTATCTTTATATTTTCTTCATCATAACATTGCCTGTTTTCATTCGCCTTATCAAGATCAGAAAGTAAGTAAAACATCATTCAAGAAAGAAATTTCTATCTTACCCCTCCAGTATTGTTTCCTGTAGCTATACACTCGTAGCTCAACTTCCATTTCCCATAGTGACATTCTGTCGTAACTTGAAGATAGTGACTGTCGTCACACCTGAATGGTCTATTATACTTGTCACAGTCTTCAGTAATAACCCAATAGGCGTGATCAGGAAGATGATAATCATCACAGACTAAAATAGAAGATTAGTCAATAGCTTGGTAGATCTAAAAGACAAGAAAATCTTAGAAACAGGTTAAAGGCCCATAATCAATTTAGATTAGTTTAGCAAATTAGATCTAGACACTCTTGGTTCGTAAGCCAGATCGAAAAAAGCAAATCAATGAACCACCATTGATGTTAAGTTTAACAATGGTCCATTAAGTGACATTACTGACAATATTAGAGTGATAAAAAAGACATACTTACTCCTGTCATGATATTTAAAGGGGAAACGTCTACGGTCAGGACGTCTCGGACCATTGGGAGAAGAGTCAACAACTTGTAATAAAACCAGGAGAGCAGCGACAACGACGAGTAATCGAAGTGACAACATGATTAGTATAATTGTATTATCTAATCTGCTATGAAATTATGATCAATATTGCTGGTATTTATACTAATTTAACCGAATTTCTTAATAAAAAATATTAAAACAAGAACATGAATATTTTCAACATCTGTGTATCATGAACATCATTAAGGCATATTTTGCACACGAAACCTTCTAACTTACATGTACAACTCCCGGCCTGGAATAATTTTTTGTGTAATTTACGAGTGTATGACGTCAGGGGTATATTGAAGTTTGATATTTATCATTTCGTTTAGATCAGACCTCTTTATTAGATACTACGTTAAATTGATCCAGAACTTTGCGATTTTGTAATTTACAACATCGAATATTTAAAGGAGGCTGTGTGGAGTTATAGAGCATCATGAAACACACCCAAAGACAAGTTTGACAATAACTGCAAGAAATGTGTATCTCACTGTGCAAAATAGTTTTTAAAAAGTAAGAATTGGATAATGAAGACTATTTGCAATAAGAAACTTTCTATATATTTTTTTGATATTTTCTCTGGTTGCTTTTTCTAGCCGAATAAAAGATATTTCCAAAGTTGACACTAAAAAGATTTCTATCGTTGTTATGTGGAATTTTGGACATGAACTTCACTTTCATGATAATATTCTCACTTATCATCATATACTTAAAGTAATTATTGTCATAAAGAAACACAAATAACAAACAATAAATTATTGTCATATTATGTCACGTGACACGAATCAGTGATACACGTAATTCAATTCCTACAGTTAGTGACAAAAGATGGATATTTAGTTAATTTTGGTACCGTTGATGATTCAAAGAGTGAATGAGAGAATTAATTAAAGTTGTAAAATGTTCTACTGCCCTGGTTCCTAACCTGGGTTGTTTTCACCTCCTGGGGGTGCGGGACTGGGTTGTCAGGGGTTCAAATGATTACTCCAGGAGTGCGAAGGCTGAAAAAGGTTGGGAACGACTGTTCTTGTCTCTAGAAACTAAGACCAGCACCAGATAACGTCTTTTACAATCATACACCACAATATTATTATTTATAAAAGAGGTAATGTACATGACGACCAGGAACAAACTAGCCTATTATAAAATTGAAGAAGAATTAAGGAAATGATTAAAGTGTCTATAATTCAGTCTACTGTTACGTTGGTGATTCTGCCTTCATCCTGAGTTAATCGGAAATCAGAGATATCTGAGGTTGCCCGAATTTCTAACTTAGTTATGAGAGTGATTATAATGTGATTATAATGATCTATTTTCCAAAGGAAGTATGCTAGATAATTCGTGTGTTGTTAGTTGAAACCTTATTAAACTGTTTTTATTGGTGGAATAAGAGTTTAGAACTTTTTTTTACACAAAAAAACAATGTGATTATTAAATGATATATTTTCAAAGGGAAGTAAGCCAAGGAATTTGTTAACTTGTTAGGTGAAACCTTACTGAACTATCTTAATTTAAGACAATTCGGACACAGATTTCATTTTTTTTAACAAATATTGTATGTCATACAATATTTAATAAAAAAAATTGAAATCTGTGCCCGAATTGCCTTTTTTTTGGTTGTGTAAAAGAAAGTTCTAAACTCTACTTTCGGGCTGCGATTTCAATTTTTGAAATATGTAAAATATAATCATACGAATGACATTCGGGCAGTATTTCTTTCCTGAAATAATATGAATTATGATATATCATTATACGAGAATACAATCGGGCTATCAATTTAAAAAGATACAGTTATAGTATAGGATATTCGGGCAAAGATATGATTTCATTTTTAAATTCCAAAAAAAAAAAAATATATAATCGGGCCGTTCAAAAATTTTTTTTTTAATGCCTTGCCCGAAAAACTAGCCTTCGGGGCTGCGAGGGGGGTGCGGGTGTTTTGCTCTGTTCAGGATTTTGTACTGGTACCAGGACTTGTCTTATTAAGAGACTTTTTACAATTGTTTATTTATGTGTTCATTTATTGTAAACCTATAGTAAATCAGATATTAAAATTTTGCCAACGTAGTGCCCCGGTGAAAGTAAGTTTTTTTTTTATTTTTCACAACAACACTTGGAGTCTGAAATATGTCGAAACGCACGGAATGGACGCGTGAAGAGATTGAGCGCCTCATCACAGAATATGAAACTCGTCCTGTGCTTTGATATGTAAACTTTGTAGTAAGTCTTTTGATTGATTTATACATTATTTTGACAGCCATATTTATATTGTATATTTAAGTTAATCGCTCTACGCTCTACTTCTACAGTTATCAGATGTATAATAATTCAACTTTTCATTCATCTTATGTTTTATGCTTTTAATTATATAAACATTTAAAAAACCAGATTCTTGTTCAACTATATCCATAGCGCATTATCGTACCACTCCTCCTGACCCGCTGGCAGCCACAATATTCTATTAACGTATTAGACATTTTATAGTATGAAGTATTTCACTAACATATCGAAACCTTTTATGTGGATAAAGACATATATTTTATCAGCTTCTGAAAGGTAAACAATCAAAATGAGTAAAAGACAAACTTTACAAATTCTTGATTTTGATGAGGTTTCACCACAACCAAAAATGTATGAAGCCAGTGAAATGAAAAGGAACTTAACCCGTGATTTTGATCTACCATGGTTTATTAAGAATTCCGAAGAATCCATCACAGCTGATGACAGTGTTTCGCAAGTTATCGAAAATCAAACAAGACTGGATATTGTAACTATTCAGACTAAAATAGACCAGTGTAAAGAAAGACAGGAAATTGAAATGGCTAAACTTAAAATTCAGAAACAAGAAGAATTGTTAGCTTTAAAAATGGAATTGGCATTAGCAAATGCAAAACTTGACATTGAATCTGAATGTGGCAGTCATATTAGTCAATCAAGTAGTAGACATAGCTTGCATTCTAGGATAAGTCGGAATTCTGTAATAAAAACT